AAAAGCGAGGTGTGCTCTGATTATCCAGTGCGTTGTGATTGGCCGAATACCTCAAGCGTGTGATGGAAATGTTACGCCCCTTACCATACTGTGATGCTGTGTCCCGGAGCGATGATTCAAAAACATGAAAACCCATTATAAACGAGGCATTTGTTGCATTCACTGGGGACATAATTACGGATTATAATGACTTATACTGTCTTTTTACGCATTGTGTTGCATCGCGCCGCGTAAACATAAAACTTGCAACGAAACACACAGCGTCTTCACAATATGGCGGCACATTATGCCTTCTTTCTTTGCGTGAACATTTGGGCGGCGTTATGCAAATCTTCTCACATCATGACGTAGACATGTGGGGGCGTGTTAAAATGAGGCATTTTAGGAGGGCATGGACCAGTCTTAACTTATAAAGGATATCTCTTTGGGTTTGAGACTTTAGTCTTTGCAACTTTAGGGATCTTATCTATTCATGAACAGCTTGTAACACTCCAAAGAGAAAGGAAAACTTGAAATCGCATTTAACTTTATTTTTAATGAAGTGCCAGACCTCATCAGTAAGAACTTGAACCTTTGTTCACTTCATTTTACCGCAGATTTGTTTACAAACAAGGCACAATTCGATGTGGGATTTTCAAAAAGATAGAAACTAAAAGACGATGTTGTAATGTCGCAACACACAAGTGTGAGTGACTGTTTTCATTACGTGATCACTATTGCTTTGCCTCTCAAAACTACTTGTTAGTAAGCAGCCTACTAAATAAACTCCATTGTTTGAATTAATGTCACTTACAATTAATGGGTTGTAAACTTTTTTTTTAATATATATATATATAATTTTTTTTTCTTTTTTTCTTTTTTTTGCTGAGTGCATTGTTCGTGGCCAAAATGAACATTATTTGATATGAAAAATAAATAAATAAATAATACAAGTACTACCAAAATAAATATAATTGTAGGCTACATAAATTGATTAAAAGGTAAATGGATACATAAATTAATAAGTAATACTTAATATTTTATAATCAAAACTTTAATATTTTGCAATTAAGCTAAAAGGTGTTATTACCATAATCAATGAATAGCCTAGCTAGGCTCTGTAAATGTTTGATTGCACCGTTCACTGTAGGCATCATGGGATATGTAGTTAATTCTGTCAGTTAAGAATTTATTTACCCGGTCTTGTCTTTTTCGAGAAGAAAAAGCAGATGGCATAGGTTAAAAAAAATATATACAAATACATCAACAACAACAACAACAATGGTTAAAACTCACACCAGCAGAGGGTGAACACACATTGACGAGAATTTGTACTGACAGATGTTTTCCCTTTGCCTGCTGGAGAAACATTTTGAAAGGCGCTGCTTCATCTCAAAATGATTAAGCGAGCTGCTGGAAATGAATCATTTAAAAAGCATACTGTAGGTTGCTACCAATTAATCTATCCATGTCATTTTCTCTTTCGCCGTGTCCTCTATGTGTGGTGAGAACAGCGCAAACACCGACGGGCTCTGGTTGGCACCTCCCCGTGTTGTTGCAGACACAACAGCCTCGGACTGTTTGCTCTCCCTGTGCGCCTCCTCTTCTTCCTCAAAGTGTTTGCCTGTCATGCTAAAATCCAGCATAAGGACTCATGCGATCGCCAGACACAGTGGACGAGAATGTTCACAGAAATCTATTATTGTTCAGAGTCGCACATCTGTTTAGCCATCACACGGACATCTCAGCACTCAATTAATATCCTTCCTCTCGTAATCGCATTGTTTTGCATCTGCCAAGGTTTCTGTGCACGAACACTGCAAACTAACATGAAAATCAACCCGTGTGTATTCATAGCAGACACAATTCATCACCTTATATTTCCTTGTAGATGTCTGACATGTGCAACCGCACAAACCCTTGTGAAAAAGTAGGCTTTAGTGCTCTTTAAAGAGTAACTTACTGAAATAATATAGGCTACTTTAAAAGAATATACTTGTACAAACTGAATGTAATGTTTTCAGACACTAATTGCATGTTAATTTCAATTAAATAAAGAATTATTATAGTTTACGTTTATATTAAAATGCAATTAACTGAACTTTGAAATTAACTGAAATGATAATAAAATATGTTAATCAACACATCAAAATAAGTGCACTTCTTTAACGACAAACTATTCTTCAAACAATGATTTATAGTAAAACTTTTTAAACTTTTAATTTTACATTATTACAAAACAAACTTTATAAAAGTGTACTTAAGTGTGTTATGAAACACTAAGTGTCTTTCTTTAAGTATAAATATATGGCCTTTTATTTCATCGTTATATCATTTACTAGTCCTTTTTTTTTGTAAATATACTTTTAAAATTTGAAGCAGGCCCACATTACAAGTGCTCATTAAATTTAAGTGCCGTTGTGGGTATAGACAATGGTATCATTAAAATGAACACCCCTAGAATAAATAAAATACAATAAAATAATGAAATAAATAAGGGTCAATGACGTGATGCTTATTTTATTGTATACAGCTCTATTTGTTTACACACAAAAAAAATCAAACACAAAATTACAAACGTTCAAATCAATCATTGAAATATTTAAAAAATACTGCCTAAAATGAGTTAAAGTTGCACAAATAACATGCAGAAAGCAATTATGTTGTAATGATATCACTTAGAAAAAAAAGTATGTCTTTGACAGACTCTGTTTTGTGTGTGTTTTGCTCCCCATGTGTTTCTATGCCCATATTTGGTCCTTCCCGTTCCTGTCCTTGTTCCTGGTGATCCCCATTTAGTTCTATTGATCCCAGGTGTGTCTCCTCATCCCTTCGTCATGTCATGTGTATATAAAGTGTTCCCTGTTCTTAGTTTGGCATCCGGTATTGGATATGTCAACCTCTCCTGCTACGTGTGTTTTTCTGGTTCCCTTGTGTTGGATTAATACAGTCTCCTTGTTGATGTACTCCACGTCTCCTCGTTCCGCGCTCCCTCACAGTAGCGAACGTGACAGAATACCGGATCTGAATAGTAAGCGGCACCCCTTCTCCCCATTTTGTTTTCGTTTTTAAAAGTCCTTTTGTTTTCCTGGTTGTCTCTCCCCGCAAACATGGAAGCATGAGCTATGTTCATTGCCGTGGCTCGCATGCGCTACGACTTTACTAGTCCTTTTTTTTTGTAAATATAATTTTAAAATTTGAAGCAGGCCCACATTACAAGTGCTCATTAAATTTAAGTGCCGTTGTGGGTATAGACAATGGTATCATTAAAATGAACACCCCTAGAATAAATAAAATACAATAAAATAATGAAATAAATAAGGGTCAATGACGTGATGCTTATTTTATTGTATACAGCTCTATTTGTTTACACACAAAAAAAATCAAACACAAAATTACAAATGTTCAAATCAGTCATTGAAATATTTCAAAAATACTGCCCAAAATGAGTTAAAGTTGCACAAATAACATGCAGAAAGCAATTATGTTGTAATGATATCACTTAGAAAAAAAAGTATGTCTTTGTCAGACTCTGTTTTGTGTGTGTTTTGCTCCCCATGTGTTTCTATGCCCATACTAGCCCAGTGAGGGTTCCTGTCCCCGGGTCTAGCCCAGTGAGGGCTCCTGTCCCGAGTTTAGCCCAGTGAGGGCTCCTGTCCCCGGGTTTGGCCCAGAGAGGGCTCCAGTCCCCACGTCCAGCCCAGGGAGGGCCACAGTTCCCGAGTTAGGCCTACGGAGGGCCTCTAAAGGCTATATTCTTGCCATGGATTTTTTGGGGGGGTAGTAGGGGTCCATCCCTGGAGGCCGGGCCGAGTGCCGAGGCCAGGCTCCTCGAGCTCCCTGTTCCACCCTGGCCTTCTGAACTGTCTGCTCTGCCATGGCTTCCTAGTCTGCCTGCTCCACCATGGTGCCCCAAACTGCCTGCTCCGCCATGGTTCCCAGAGCTCCCTGCTCGGCCATGGCCCCTGTGCCACCATGGCACCCTGGACTGCCTGATCCACCCTGGAGGTATTCCCCATGTCCCAGTCCTGCACCAGCCTCCAGGGCACCTTCAGGGAGGGGGGAGTAATGACAGACTCTATTCCGTGTTTTGTGTGTTTTGCTTCACATGTGTTTCTATGCCCATATTTGGTCCTTCCTGTTCCTGTCTTTATCATTTGTTCCAGGTGATCCCTGTTTAGTTCTATTGATCCCAGGTGTGTCTCGTCATCCCCTCGTCATGTCATGTATATATGAAGTGTTCCCTGTTCTTAGTTTGACGTCTGGTATTGTATATTTCAACCTCTCCTGCTACATGTGTTTTCCTGGTTCCCTTGTGTTGGATTAATGAAGTCTCCTTGTGATGTACTCCACGTCTCCTCGTTCCTCGCTCCACACTCCCTCACAGTAGCGAACGTGACAGTCTTAGGCTATTAGGTAAAAATGTATTAGCTAATTTGACCATTTTATGACATGGTCAGGTTAGTTCAGGGCAGGTTGTCACTATATTTCAGTAGAAATTACATAAAGAATAAATATATATATAGTTTACCATAAATGCTCGTCAGTACATTCAATACTTTAACCATATTTCAAAGACAATAGAGGTAATCATGAAATGATGTATAAAGATGTACTTAAGTCTACTTAAGTTTATTCTGTATAAGTACCTTTTTTTTGTTTGCTAAAGTATACTTTTTCACATCCATTCAAAGTGTAAGGAAAGTATTAATAGTTTCAGAAGCAAAAAGTAAAACTTTTGTTGAAATTGGTATAAAAGTCTTTCAAAACCAACATGAATACAAAATAACATTTCCAAGAACTAAATTTTTCATATTCATCATCTCTCTTAATCACAATTTTCACACACTTTTCATAAATGTATAAAAGTATCCCTCCTGCTTCAGTTCCTGTGTTGATGGGCTCATTCCTATTAATAACTTTGCTTAGTTCTGATCCAGAACCGGACATGATGTGAGTCATAAATCTCTGTTATAAGACATGGTGTTCCAGTGATGTCATTCTGTCTCTCACCTTCACAGAAGTCACAGACCAGGGTGGCCGGCGGGACTTGAAAGCAGTGCCGTTCATCAGCTACCTGTCGGGCCTGCTGAAGACGCAGCTGCTGTCTGATGACCTGGTGGCCGGTGTGGAGATCCGGTGCCAGGAGAAGGGCAGCTGCCCGGCTGCCTGTCACCTGTGCAGACAAGCGGGCCGTGAGACACCCAGCCCGACACCAGTCCTCTTGGAAGTGAGTCGCATCGTGCCCCTGTACAGCCTGGTGCAGGATAACGTTACTAAAGAGGTAAATGAGGGATGAAGTCTCTTATGAAAAATGAATACAGTAAAAACAATTTAAAAGGACAGTGTTATATTTTATTATATGGTAAAATGCAATTTATTCCTGTGATCAAAGCTGCATTTTCAGCATCATTACTTCAGTGTCACATGATCCTTCAGAAATCATTTTAATATGCTGATTTGCTGCTAAAGAAACAACTAGAGCTATTTTGTAACCTTATAAATGTCTTTACTGTCACTACTGATCAATTTATTGCGTCCTTCCTGACTAAAAGTATTGAATGGTAGTGTATGCACTATAAACCCAAAAACCAATGCACTGACCTGGACATTATATGGAAACATTGTAATTATCAGGGAATTTGAAGAAGAAAGGTCAAAAGAAAATATGAAATATTTGACAGGAAATGTCTAGCTGCTTTCACTATAAACTAACTATTAATTATGTATTTTATCTCAATAAACTCCTAATTTGCTGCTTAGTATTAGCTAGTAAGGTAGTTGTAAAGGTGAGGTATGGGGTTTAAGGATTAAGGGATCTAAATGGTCATGCAGAATAAGGCACTAATATGTGCTTTATAAGTACTAATATGCTAGTAATATGCATGTTAATTAGATTTAGTTTATAGATACTTTGTATATAATGAGAAAACCTGTTTATGGCAATTTTACAAACATTTTGCAGAAAGAAAAATAGTATATTGAATCATTCTGTTATAACATAGTTGAGAATCATCTTTATACAAAGTTTGATAAAAAAAAATCTTGAAAACTAAAAATGTATTGGTGATTTTAAAAAAATCAATTGTTTTTGCCTATTCATGTTCATTCATGTATTTTTATTTTTTTTAAAGAAATTGAGTCCTGATGTCCTCTTCGATGTCCCGATGACATAGCATAACTTATGAATGAAATATTTTTTTTTTAACATTATTTTTGATGCTCTAAACCAGGGTGGCGAACGTCGGTCCTGGCGAGCCGCAGCCCTGCAGAGTTTTGCTTCAACCCTAATCAAACACACCTGAACAAGCTAATCAAGGTCTGAACGGTTATTAGGAAGCTACAGGCAGGTGAGTTTTAATTAGGGTTAGAGCTGAACTCTGCAGGGCTGCGGCTCTCCAGGACCGGAGTTCGCCACCGCTGCTCTAAACAATGTAAAGACATCGAAAAAAATTACTTTTTCCTAAAACTTTTTTCTCGGGTCTTAAGAGGTTAGAGCTGAATTATGTATAAAAAGCTGACATATTCAGCTCACATGTGGAAGGTATAAATATGAATTCCACAGATATTGTTACTTGTTGGCAGTAGATTCAGTCTCCTTTTGAGTAAATAAGTGACGTATTCTGCTGCTCCAGATGTGCCAGAAGATTGCAGGAGTGATTTTCATTACAATGAAGCAGGGTTTGTCTTTCTGAAAGGATGTTACAAACTGGGATAACTGAACTTAGAGAAAATGCAGCATGAACAATTATATACTAATATCGTAATAGAAGAATAATAACAATCTTTAAACCACCGTTTCTTGGCTGAACTGCGTGATCATAAAATCTCCTCTGTCCTTAAATGAGGAGATTGCATTAGTAGCTGCTGCACCTTCTGAGTCACTGCGTAATGGGGATATTAAATTTAGTTTTGGAACAGATTTACAAGAGCTTTCTTTTCCGCATCATCCCTCGTACTGTTGACGTCTTGAAAGGCAAGATGCCATTAACCAGTGTCTGTTATTCAGCAGTGTCAAAAGACTGACGCTGACGTCGAGACTGACTCACTTACCAAATGGCCTGCTTTGGCCCAGTGCGTACCTGACGAACAACCACTCTGGGGATCGAACCTGCTCCATAACACTGATTCCCCCAGCAGGGAGCTAAGCTACCTGCATGTGTGTGTGTGTGTGTGTGTGTGTATCTTGCTAATAACAGGAGCGTCAACAATGACAAAAGGCTCTCAATCGATAGCAGACGGTCCCTAGCGGGGATCTGTCGATTGGTAAACAAACAGGAGAGAAAAATGCAGCCGAGTTGACTGGGAAGGGCTCAGACTAAAGCGTATAGCATGCTCAGAAGATACTACGAGATTATGAGGATGATATTGATGTCATCGACTCTGGGGACGAGCCAAGGCTCCTTGAGGTCACAGCCTCCTGTCAATTAATGTAACAGGCACAAAATACCTACAGAGACAATGCTGTCATCTGAACCCAAAATGACGCCTCTTTCAACAAAGATGGGAGCGCTTCATGATTAGGACATGATGGAGAAGAAGTCAATGACCTGGTCTAGCTTTGGTCCATTGAGAACCGAACATTGACATTCCTGCGTAATCCATCTTTTTTTTTTTTGTAGTCTCACTAGTTTTATAAAGCAGGTTTTAACATCAGCTTTAAGATAATACAACTTGCTTTTGATGCAACCATCAAAACTTTACACCAGTCAGTTTGCAAATAACATGGATGGAGTTTATGAGTTTTGAGAATGTATTTTAACCTATAGTTTTTTCCATACCCTGCTGATTTTGATGCAGCCGTCAGAAGGTTTAAGGAATTAAGTTACAGCAAAAAGAGCAAATCAATGTATACAGTATTGTGTGTCCTTTTTGCCTGATTGAGCTTATTTGTCAGTCTCTTTCTAATGGAAATATGGTAATGATATGAAATTATCTGTTCATTTCCTTAAAAACACAGTACCAGAAAACAAGTCTGCAAAGGATAAAAAGCGAAATTCACAGAGCTTCTCATGTGACAGTTTTGATCCTGTTTTCATCATGGTCCCCCCCTTCGCAATCCAGCTACACACGCTTGCACATACACACTCATACACTTTTCTTTATATATTTGTGCAGGTAGGAAACTCATCAGTCATTTTAAGATTAAGAAGGATCTCTTTGGACACAGAGAAGAGAAGAAACGTTCATTCCAGCCGTTTTCTCATACATCTGGCAGTACGTTTCTAATGCATCTCTAATCTGCTGTCAAACATAGCTTTAAAGTTGACATGAAATGTAAATTCATGTAATTTTTAATCAAAATGTCATAGCTGGGTTTTCCGGTTAAAACTTTGGACTTCTCTCTGGTGACATACAGTATATGCCAGGCGTCTCCAACCATAGACTGCAAGCTTGCTGTGCAATGCTCACTCTGCAAAATCCAATTAACAACCTATGCATAGAACTGAATCCCGCCCTACATTTTTTCTTATTCAATAAACTGCCGCACTCAGATGTATGTAACAATGTAGAAGAAAAGGTCTGTCGCTACTTCCGTTTCATTGCAACTTTATTCTGAAGCATACTTTATGCAATAAACCGAATGCAGACACTTCTGGCTATACATACGCTTAATCTCCTGTGCTTTTTTTGCAATTCTGCATCTTTGGATTGCACTGCATCCTTAATTAATTTCTGACACAAGCAGGTGTTGCATTCTCAGCATTGCCACAAGGGGCACTAAAAAGTATAAACTCAAACTTTCACCTCTGTGTACTGTTGTACAGCATTTTTTGGTCTTAGTTATGCATGTTTAATATGCATGTTCAAGATCTGGCAGTACTCCGTTTTCAAGGTCAGCATTTGTTGACGGATATGCTAAAGTTGGCAAGAAATCAAAATTCTATGTATTTTTAAAGGAATTTTGTAGATCTTATTTTGAACAATTAATTTATGAATAATTAGTGTCACTCGGATGTACGTTGCAATGCAGAACAAAAGTATGTCGCTACTTCTGCAAAACTGCAACCTTAAGCCTTTATTATGGAAGCATTTCTACCATGAATGAATGAAGGAATGAATGAAGATAATTGTGACTTTTTCTCACAATTTAGACTTCTTTTTCTATATTTTATATAGAAAAATATAGAATATAGAGAGTTTATATATCAAAATCTGCCCTTTTCTTGCAATTATGAGCAATGAACTCATAATTCTGAGAAGAAAAGTTAGAATTGTTGGTAACACTTTACTTGAAGGGGTGTACATAAGACTGACATGACACCTTCATAATCATGACATGAAACATGTCATGAATATGAAGGAGGTTTTATGCATGTTTATGACAACTGTCATTAAGTGTAATTTGCTCAGTTATGTCATTTTTAATGCAAATATGACATTATTTGACCTAACCCTAACCTAACCCTACCCCTAACCATAGCCCATAACAAAGACATCTCAAACAATGTCATCTTTGCATTAAAAATTACATAACTGAGCGAATGACACTTAATGACAGTTGTCATAAACATGCATAAAAAACCTTCATATTCATGACATGTGTCATGTCATGATTATGTAGGTGTCATGTCATCATTATGAAGGTGTCATGTCAGTCTTATGCACACCCCTTCAAGTAAAGTGTAACCGAATTGTGAGATATAAACTCGCAATATTTTTTTTTATCCATTGGAGGAAAAAAAAAAAAACATCAATTGCGAGATATAAACTCAGAATTCTGAAAAAAAAAATAAGTCGTAATTTTGAGATTATAGAATTGCAAGAAAAAGAGATTAAAAAAAATCCTTTTTATTTGTTATTCTGTGATGGAAGATCAGAAACACGAAATTCTAAGGAAAAAAGTCAGATTTTTGATATCTTAATTTTATATCTTGCATTTCTGACTTTTTTTTTTTTTTTTTGACGGAATTGCAAGAAAGAAGTCTAAATTATAGGATACAAATTGCAATGATGTTTTTAATTTTTTATCCTGTGGCAGAAACAAGCTTCATTCTTCATTGTAGAAAAGATTAGATGTAGATGAAGATTTTGTAGATGATACATTTTTCATCATTAAATTGAACTAGTTCAAGTAATGAGATGTTACAATATAATAGCACTGATTGATATAAATGAGGTCATGATTAACGATCAATCTAAATCAATGAAGGCTTGTAAAACAAAGTATTCAGTCACTACAGCGAAACAGCAAAAGTTTTTCTTGTTCACAAACTGTCTGGCATCATACTAACTCACACTGCCAAGCACTTTTTATTTGCCCTCCAAGTTTTGCTGGCAATT